TAAAAACGATTCTTAAAATCTGTGGAAATTGGAGTTCTTTCATGTTACCACCTGATCTTTCCTCTTGAGTGCTTGATATGATTTCGTGCTGATCGCAGGGTTATTGAAAAAAAGGTATGCTTGTATTTATTGTGATGTTTTGTTTTGTTATTTCATGTGGCGGTTACCCGGTTACTTTGAGAATGTAAGAGATTTCGATGACCGAATTAAGCTTGTCTGACGAACTTATATATTTGTGCCTGCTTGAAGACCGTGGACATTCACAGACAAAGTGTACCTCGCCGTTCGAGGAAGAGTTAAACATATGAACGAAAATTATACTAAAAGCATGTGTTTCGCGTAAAACAAACTCAACAGTCAAGAAACACCATAGATATTAGACCGATATGTTTTGTGCCTAATAAAACTGACTGGAAAGAAGCGAAGGTTACCCAGCAACAGCTTGAAGTCATATACTGAATTTCATCTAAACTGTACAAATCAGGTTGTTCCCGGCCTAAAGAAGGTGATCTAACCATGTGGAAATACTTCGGTTTCCAAGGTTCAGTTACTGCCGCGATTTGCCAGTTTTAGTTTCACAAAATCATAGAAATAAAGACAGCGGGGTTATTTTGTCTAAAGAGAACCCCTTCATTACAGACTGAAATGTCGCTTAGAAAATTGTTCAGTCTTGAACATCAATCTTCGGAAGTCTTTTGTTGACAACTGACATACTTATTTGATCCTCATTTTAATATCTTTAGCTAAACAGAGTTATTTTTTTTCATCTTTAGCGTTGTTATTCTCTTGAACTTGGCACAAATTGAAGTTCGTTATTCATGATTCATTTCTCTCGGTTATGTCTGGTAAATTATGCAGTAAATCCCAGAAGATGGTCAATTTTTTTGCAGCGTATTATTCAAGTTGCTGTTAAAAAGTCTGGCATGATTTTTGGATGAGGATTATTTTTTTCGTAATCTTCTTGGAAGCTTCTTGGAGTACCGTGTAGAGCAATCCTGATGTAATTTTCCGAGCCGATCTCGGTAGTGATTACTTTCGAAAATACCTGACCAAAACAATATGTGAAACCGTAAATCGACACCTGGTTCAAGAGTAGTTCCATTTAATTTGTAGGCGGCTTTTAGATTACGAGTCTTTGGGGAATTGAAAACTTTCCAGTCAATACTTTCTTGAATAATTCCAACAAAGTCGCACTCATTTGTATATTACTTCCAAAATGTTATTTCCTATATCTTTTGAAATAAAGTGCAAGAAACTAAGTTTGAGCAAGGACTTCCAATACAAATTAATATCAAGACTGAATAGAGTATATAACAATTCACACGTTTACAAAACTTGACGTATTATCCATTTTTTTTAGAAAGTTAATTTATCGCAGGTCACCTTCAGACTTGTGAAGAGCCGTTTATTCAGACGACGACTGATCCAATTAAATGTATGACACCGAAAAAACCCTAATCTTTGAGGCTTTGAAACTTTGTTTTCGTGCTGATTTTTGTAACTTGGCAGAGGGTCAGTACAATATCGACTGTATATTTACATCGTCTGGCTCTGTCATTTTTCATATCATTTTGTTCCCTGACATGCGCGGTTTACTAGATTATGAGAAACCGACGGGGTGCGAGAGCGCTTTTACGTCCTATAAGGGAGCCTTACTATTGTCAAAGTTGTTCTGAAATAACAACGATAGAAAAGTGTTATTAGATGTCCCATTACGTAATAATTTTCGATGTGATCATAGTATCGACTGCACTCTACCAATGTTCTTCTGGCGATGTCACAGTGAGACGAACTACAAAGCTATATGCACCTTTGGCATTCATCAACTGTGGTTTGGGCATTTCGATCTCGGTTTTCTAAAAGAAAAAGTTCAATAGTCCGTTGTCGTACAGCTCTTCCAGTAATATCTTTGTTTACTGAAAGCATCCATACTACTGAGATACTTATTCAGCAGAGGCTTTTAAAAAAAGCTTTACTAATTTTCAACCTGGTCTGTTGGAGGAATAAAGTGTCAAACTTTATTTGCGATAACTGACGCCTGCTTTCATCCGAACTAAATTTACAAATGAGAGTATTTTCAGCACTGAATGGAAATATAAAAAGATTAATCTGGGGTCGTGGTTGTCTTAGTCATAGAAGCAGTTAACTTGATGATAACTCAACTATTCTTTTTTTTTCTGCAGCGGGTACAACTAAGAAATAAGGGCAAAGCAAATTATGACACAGCACACATTTCACAGCCGTAGTTTTGCTCGTTAATTCTCTCTCTCACCACGAGTCTTTAAGTCTTTCCTCGAGGCTCTACTTTTTGGTCGGACAGGCTGATCAGCCAATCACATTGCATTTTGTAATTAGCGGTTCTTTACTGATGTATTAATGCTGGCGTAAGTTCACACTTGCACTATCAGAAAACTACAAAATCTGTTACTTTCTTTTTCCCAAGGTAGACAATGAAGTCTGGATCACAAGCACTTTTCTAAGAAATATTTCTCCCACTACGGAATACGCGTTTTTTTGTTTTATTTTGTTTTATTTTTGGAAAAAGAGACTTTTTACTTTTTTTAGCACTCACTTTTGACCGACAATGTTGAAGTTCATGTGGAGTTAGTGGCGCGTCATATTGTAAATATCGTACTTAAAAATTTCAGCTACTCTACTCATGTTTGCAGACCGCCTGGGCATATTTCAATTTTGTGTATCTCGAATTTACGTGGGGGGCCAAATTTTCATTTCATTACAGATGACAATAGTATCAAAAAACTAAAATTTGCTATATTTTCAAGGGGGTGTTAACACAGATCATCAACAAACAGAAAAATTGGAAAAAAGAGAAGAAAAACTCTGATAATGCTGAATCGGTTAATTGGGTTTGTTTACTATTTTTGTTAAAGAAAAAGATCATTCTCCTCGATAATCCATTATTTAGCTGGACGTAGGACGTTCTTGTTAGAACCTAAAATTAACAGGCTTCACAAAGTGAGATCTTTTATTAATGAAAGGCAAATATGTTGTTTCAGAGAAGTTACATAACGCCAGATCAATTTTCAACTTTGCATAAAAATCGACAGAAATATCATAAAACGAATGAAACAAATAATGAATAGACATATGTATTAAGTATGTCTTCGTACTTTCATCAATTAAATTTCATGAACGACAATTATTTTTCGGAGTACCTCTGAGCAATGAAAAATAAAAAGTCATAAAAATACAACTGAAGAGGGTAGAGAAATTTTTCGAAAATATTTCGGGAATGGGTAACTTTTCCAAGTTTTTTATGTCCTGTCGTTTTTAAGATAGTGTTTACTTTAACTTTTACTTTTGTTATAACTGAGCTGAGCTGAAAAGCTGAAAATTGCTTGATAGTTACGGTCACCTTTCTTAACTGGCGTCACTATTTCTTTGCATATTTGAGGGGAAAAAAAAGTGTTTTGATGTTGCTGTCGTCCGAATTACAATAATAACATTTGTTCGAAATTCAACGGAGGACTGATTTCTGTCCTGCTGTTAAAATTTCACGGTGACTTCGTTTTGCATCGCTTTACAGTCCATATCATCTGCTTAATACTCGTCAAATTGCGCCTGCTTGCCATCATTTTCTGCTTTAGAGAAAGTTCGCATTGAGGAGCTCGCTGCGAGCGCTACTTGATAGCTTTTTTGACCTCATCTCTGCAGCAAGGCTCAGAGAATAGCGCAGCGTGTTACAAATAGAGATTGAAGCTGTTTCCTTTTTGACGGTCGACTCACGGAGCTACATAAATTACAACTGATTCGTATCAATATTATTAAGGAAATAATGTACCCGACCAATCACAAACTTGATTCCGTCACGTGAGTAGCAGGTGCTTGACAAGCACAAAGCAATTGAATTATAATACAGACTTACGTACATATTCTTTTTTAGTCTTACAGAATATTCTTTCCTGTTTTTTTATTTTTTTTCCCCATTACTGCTGTGCTTGAACTGCCGTGATTTACGATTTGAAATTTTCTTTTATTTTCTATCGTCTATCGACACCACAGTTGACCAATGTTCGGCCTCTAAGTACTGAGTGAGGTCTGGATCTATAATTTCGCATTACACGTGTTAGGTGGGTAAAATAAACCGAACTAAGGTTTACTTTAAAGCGCCTGTAATTTGCATTTTGATCTTTCTCGCCGGGTATGTTGTAAATAAATTTAACTGATCTAAGACATCAAAAGTTGCACCATTCGTATTAACCGCAGTCAAATTAAGGCGCTTTGCTGTCGCTTTTGAATACGGTAAGCAAATATGTTTTCTTCGGTAACCACAATTCGGTTCTTTTTGCCCGCCAGCTATGACGGTCTTTAATACCATCTTTAGACGGCAATTCAGGTAAATTCAGGCATATTTCTTTATGTACCTAATGAAAGGCGTAGCGCCGAGTCTCATGCTAATATAAATTTTATTTTTTCGTTTGTTTTTAGGGACCAATCGAAGCAAGCATAACTAATTTTAACCAACGACACTTGGTTGTAAGTTGTGTTTTGTCTGAAATTTGCTGCTTGTGTCACCGGAAAATTTGGCCAGAAATTGTTGCCTGTGGCTGCCGAATGAAATAAATACGGGCAGAGAGAAGACAATTCGAATCTAGAGTTGAAATTTCAAGGAATTAACGCTATCTGCTAGACTGCTACTTTCGAAACCAAGAAATAGGAATATTACGGCTGTGAAATTAAGCGACCTTCCCTCGTTTGTAAGTACGAGATGGTAAACATATCGCTTTCATCTACTGACCCTTCATCTAGTTAAATGTCTTATTTCATGTACCTTGAGTGGGTATGGCTAGATATCAAAGCTTTCCGTGGGTAGCTAGCCAAATTGACAGGAAATATTCAACTGGAAATCCAAATATATGCAACCGACTTCGTGGCCGAAGCCCTTCGTCTTCAAGGTTGTTAATTGCCTGCCTTTGACAGTTAACATCTTCTCAACTGTAAGGATTATCCGCAGCTGAGGGAAACAAGTTAGATAAGGTATGCAACGCGAAGAAAAACAAAACACCGAGTGTTCTCGCGAGGATGAAGCCGAAAAAATACGGAGCAATCCAAGCTTGGTAGAGGAGTGCAAAATGACTAGAGAGAGTGAGCCTCGATATGAAACTGAGATCGAAAACGGCGATGAAAGATACGATGTGTTCCAAGAATTTATGCCAACCGCCTTCTTTTTCTTTCACCGCGAAAGACGTCCAAGGCGATGGTTCATTCGCCTCGTTACATGGCCATATCCTTTTAAGCTTTTAAAGTAATGATCTTGATATTTATAGGAATCGCTTTTCATGAGATTTCTTGCAGGTCATAACTCTTGGATTGACGAGTATCTTTCGGAGGCTATGTGGTACGACCTTTATTTGATGTTTTTTTTTTTATCCTTACAAGGGAAACATCTTTGATCGGGTTCCCTTATCTGGTTATTTTTTATCATTGATATACGTTGTTGTTCACGAAACGTTTTGAGTCATAAATTTAAATTTTGCATGACACGAATTTAAAATTTAAATTTTTCATTTTTAGCTATGTCTACATCGAAGTTTTCGCTCTGAAAAACTGATCAACTTCCCACTTTCTACAGAACGCAGTCACCGGTTTAAGCATTTATCTTTACAAGAGTTTTTCTTGATTTTGCCATAAAGCATCTGACAACATTATTCATGATGATTATGCGAATTTTCCCTGTCAGGCTTGCACCTAAAGTCACTTTCTCGGCCAAGCAGTTTCTAAATGGTATATAACTATATAAATGCCTTTCGATATCATCTATTGAAATTTTAATGCTCCTAAAAGCGGTGAAAGTATTTTTTCACTAATCTTATCCACGGATCAGTAATTAATTCATTTTATCCACTCAACTGCGGTTTTGAGACGGAGTCGCAATCAGGTCCCTCTTTATTCTGAAATATCCCAAAAAATGATAAAACTTTGAAAATTACATTAATACTGACGTTCCGGGAAAAACTGCATTATTTGCCCTTTTTGTGCGCAGACAATTTTTGTTGAAGAAAAATGTACATGATCTTTGAAATATCTCTTTGATATGTTTTCAAAACAATTGTATATTTTATTTTCATACCTAATACTGTTTAACGTGGCCTACTGATCTTTCGAATGTTGCACAATGTGTACTATGTACACATTTCAAATCACTTGTTCTTTTCTATCAGTGTTACCAGAAGCTGAAAAATGTTACTTTAAAAAGACACAATTTTTTTCCTTTTTCGATTGCAATACTCGGGTCGTTCTTAATTTCCGGTGAAGATATATTATTATTCAGAGCAATGGTTTGTGCATGTTAACTTTCTTTTAGAAATTTGAATAAAATTTGAAAACTTCAATTGAATAATCCAAAAAGGGATGTTTAATGCATCATGTTTCACCTGTGATACGTTGACCATGAATTAATTTTAGTAAAAAAAAATTTTTCAGACCATTTTGCATCGAGAATTCTATATTTTCTATGAACTCTCAAAACTTCGATACTATGAAGAATCAAGAGGAAATGTTCTCTTTGTAAAATGTATTGTTAAGAAAACTGCAAGAAAAGTTCATAAGTGCGATTTTTCACACGTTTCCATGGAAACCATTGTAGAAGTTTCTTTTTGCGCTGATTTTGAGGCGACATTGTTCAAATGCCAAAGCTCAGAGGAAAGCTTTTTTTATTGAGATAAAGAAATATTTAACGGCTTTCCCGAAAGAACCATTATTATTCTTAAAAAATTGGTTTGTGGAAGGCGACAGAAATAGAAACACTTTGTTGTTGATCAAATGAACTAAGCTTTTGGTCACTGAGGTTCTTGGAACTACGTATAATCCTTCGCTTCTCATCGCGGGTGCCTCAAATGACCATATTCTGTGAAAACTTCCTTTTTACTAAATCAAGGTTGGTTCTCGTACTAACAAACTATAGCTGCCACATTGATGTACTGCAACAAATTGTATGATAAGTATCCTTTGGTCAATAGGACCCTCAAGGTTTGTACCCGCTGACATAGGGATGTTTATCCGGCGATGGCTAGACGTTTTTTCAAACGTTGATATATAATTCTATCTAAAATGCAATCCATTAAACTTTGCGACGTTCAAAATCTGCAAGATGGTCATGATGACAAAAATTTATTTTCCGGAAAATTCGATGGAGGACAAAGCTCACATCGAGGACAACTACTCAACTTCTTAAATTTGCTTATTTTCCGTAATTACCCCAAGACATTACTTTGTGCGTAGACTTAAGAAACTGAGAGTTTCGAAAGTATTACGTAACTCATCGAGTCTTCTAGAAACTAAAGTCAGCTGTACATGAAAATTGCAATATGGCTTCGTAAACTTTTGTTTGTGTTCAATATTGACATGTTCGATCAATAAGATTTTCTTTTAATTAGTTCCTCTTTACACAGAATGACATCAGTTTGACTTGAAATAACAGCAATTTGAGTCAATGAGTTTTTGGTACTGCCGCATGAAGGGTAAATTGTCAAAAAAGCTTTTAATTACCATCTTCTGTATTTGTAGCTTTAGGGTACATTTTTCTTCAAAGTGTGAATCAAGCTCTGAATCCAGGTTGTCTTTCTTTACACTGCTAACGGCGTTTTTTATTTTTCTCGATGTTTCAAAACCAAGAATGAACGGAAACGCTTCATTACTTTTTCCCAAGGCAGGACTGCATTAAAATTTCATTGGGAAGAATTTCAGTTGTTCTTAATTGTGATAGATTGTTCAATACATTTTGTTTGGTTAAAATGTTGAAAACTGACAGCAGGATATTAAAACCTGCTTACATTAAAAACAAACATAGCTGTTACCATTAATATTCATGAGCGACTATCATTTCGGTGATAAAAAGAAAAAAATGTTCTAGAAACAGGGTGATCTTAAATATTAGATATTTGCATTAGAACTCTTCTAATTGACAAAAACTAACAATAACTTCACATAACGTCCAAGCATAAAACGTTCGGTAGCTTCGTAAAAGTTCTTTTTTAATTATTAGTTTCCCTTAACATTCTTCAATTATTTTGAGCGTTTGAGTATCTTAGTGATTCTTGTTAACTGCGTCACACTTGGATTGTACGATCCTTTTGATCCGGAATGTCAAACACAAAGATGTCAGACACTAGATGCCATGGAAAAAGTTATTTACACATTCTTCTTGGTGGAAATGTTATGCAAGTGGATGGCCATGGGACTGTTTGGGAAACTGGCGTATTTCGGCGATGCATGGAATCGTCTAGATTGCTTTATTGTAGCTGCGGGGTAAGAAGTTGAGTTTGACGCTTTTAATATCTTAATATTAAAATGTGCATTTTTACTGCGCATGACTGTCCCAGTGATCGAGTCTCGCGTGGAATATAGATTGCAGGGCACCAGCTCGGTTCCCGTCTGGGGGCCCGTTTCTCGAAGGTTCCAATAAGTTAATTGGCTCGTAAAGCCGTTCTAATTTTCATTCCAGAAAGGGATTTCAAAGAATTTGAAAACGATACTAAAATAAATACAAGCTGAAGAAACAAAGTGGTCTGGTTAAGGTGCCAGAAACTGCTTCTCTATTGTTTAAATTATGGGTTATTATGGCGGGTTCTTGATCATCACACATTTCTCTAAAAGTGTCTCTGTTTATCCAGGGGTATAAATGGATTCCACAAAACTTTCCGAGAAATTAGCATTCCATCCAGTTCCAATCAACTCACGTTACGAAAACCGGAATAAACTCCAGCAGTTAGCTCGTAACATTTAACCTTTCCTAGCACGCAGACAAAACATGGCAAATCGTACGACTCGCTTTAACCACAAAAAAAGTTTCTGTAAACTCACGCCATTAATTTTCTCTCTCTGTAAGAACGTTCGAATTGCTTTACAACAAAGGAGAATACCTGAGTGCTGTTCGTGCCATTCGTGTTCTCAGACCCCTCCGCGCCATCAACAGAGTACCAAGTAAGTAAATTTTGATATGAGTTGTGTAAGGTTTTTGGGACAGCCGTTCTTATTTTTTTCAAGTTATTTAGATAAGCGAGACGTCTTTTATGAATTGAAACAAAATGACACAAAAAAACAACTAATTTTTGTATGTTTTGGTTTTGTTAGTAACATTGCTATTTTCAACCATTTTTTCTGTGATCATTTACAGGTATCAGAATTCTTGTGACGTTATTATTAGACACCTTACCAATGCTATGGAATGTCCTGGCCATTTGTTTCTTTATATTTGCCATATTTGGTATCGTTGCTGTTCAGTTATGGAGAGGCGCCTTAAGAGGGAGATGCTTCCTTGATTTGCCACAAGGCGTCACAGAAGATAGGTTTGTATTTTTAATAGTTCACCTCACATTGTACAAGTTGTGCAGCATTTGCAAGAAAAGTCATTTGGCTATAGAAGCTCTTCACACATATCGATCAAGGTAGTCCATCATGGTAGTGTGATTTATCCAGCCTGAGGCAAATGACGCAAAACAGGGCAATAAGTTCATTCTGCAACGGTACCTCCTTTCAGGTGCTCCCTTAGAGAAAGAAAAGTTTATAGGGGCGTTTCTATTCCACCCTGGACTTAACCTTATGTCCCCAATTCTCGCATCATGTCATAGCTTACACCTTCACATACACATGTTTACAAGTATTGTTCGAAGAGGTATCGGAAAAAGCTACTGTTGGCATGTTTGTTTCCGGAAACAATATGCTGTGTGCTGTATGAAAAAGATTTGTGAAGGCAAAATGAAATATAGCACAACTATGACATTAAAATGTTAAGATAATAATTACGACAAAACATATTTTTTTTCCTCTTCAGTTACAATTTAACAGATTTCTACATACCTTCGTTCGACAACCCTGATTTTGTATGTGCCGTGACTGGGGTACCAGGAATGCAGACATGTATCAGTGAGTTTATCCCAGCCTTGAAGAATGATAACAGAGAATGTACACTTACCTATGAAGGATATATCAATCAATCGAGAAGATCAAATAATTCAAATAACTGCATCAACTGGAATCAATATTACACAGTCTGCCGGAAGGAGGGTGATAACCCTTCATGGGGAGCCATTGGGTTTGATAATATTTTTATTGCCTGGGTGGCCATATTTCAGGTTTGTAGCGCGTCTAGTTCCTTTATACTTGAAAATAATCTTTAGTTTAGTCATCAACTCATAAAATCTTCGCCAAAATTCAATGACGAAGTAAGTTTCATATAAACTAGTGAGATTTCTCGCAAATTTACGAAAAAAAACATCATTACCCGGGTAAATCTATCCACAGGTCTGCAAAACTTTCTTAATTAGCAACAGTCTTCTTTTGAGTATTTTTCGCCCCACAAGGTTTGCCATAACATTTCCTCTTTGTTCCATGTCTTGCTCAAAAAACGGCGTGTCTCTCTCCTGACTCGTCCTTGTCAATTTTTTCTACTTTGCCTAACAAGTCTCGAATGTCAAAAAAATCGGGATTTTGTTACATACATTTCTTCAAACATTATTTACAGTCCTCCAAGGGCATTTCGAAATAAAAAATGTAGCGTAATTGTAATTAAATCATTGTTAGGAAGAGCCTCTCCAAACTTGCCGTTTTACTGCAGGTAATTACACTGGAAGGTTGGACAGATATCATGTATTATGTGCAAGACGCCCATGGATTTTGGAATTGGATTTACTTTGTAATTCTTATCGTGGTAAGTTCTTGATATAATTATTCTGCTAAGTGGAAGTTACGAGAGGAATTCTCCATCCACTCACTATTTCCCTTTTCATTTACGTTAGCAACTTACGAAAAACGCTTCTCCGAAGAAGACGATTGATTGATAAATAAATTGCCAGCTACATCTTGGAAATTAAGTAATTACAACTGAGTTGATAACGAAAATTGGCCGCAGTAAAGTGTTCAAAAGCTAACGTTTCGAGCGTGTTAGCCCCTCGTCTATATATCGCTCTGACGAAGGGCTAACGCTCGCAACGTCAACTTTTAAACTTCCTTTACGGCGGCCAATTTACGTTATCATCTCAGCTGATAATATTAAATTACCCTACTATACTCTCTCACCGACGCGGTACCATAGTTTCTTTAGAAACTTACTTCTTTACTCCTGTATCTTCGAAATACGTGCCAGCGATGCTTTCTTTTATTTTTCAGATTGCTTCATATTTTATGACTAACTTATGTCTAGTCGTCATAACAACGCAATTTCAAGAAACTAAACAACGCGAAAATGAACTATTACGCGAGAGTCGGCGGCGAGAGGGGACTAGCACTAGTACCATAGCTAGCAGCCGATACGGAAAAGATGGCTGTTGGGTGGAAATACTTAGATATGTCGAGCATTTAATCAGAAGATTTAAACGAAGACTTTATAGGCGATTTAATTGGAAATATTGCGATAGTGGAAGTAAAAGGAAAAAAGGTTCAAAACACAGGAAACGGAGACGAAGAAAGAAAAAACTTGTCTATCATCATCACCATCATCACCACCATCATCACCATTATCATCATCACGTGCACTGCACTGATCCCGACTGTCCATGTAGTAAAGTGGCGCCGCAGTTTCCGGTTCATCCCGGAAGTGCCGACGTCACACCAAACACGTCTACAGTGGATATTCAGCCGATTCAATCGAAACACTTTCAACCATCTGCTAATACTTTAACGGTGCCAGGACAAGTTCCTGGTAACGGGACATCGGGACGAGAAAATGACAACGGGAAAGGAACGATACCAACCATTTCGATTATAACTGGATCGTCCTGTTCTGTTCGCAAAGAACCGTCTTCGTCCACGCATGGAGGTGAAATGATCACAACAGCAACTGCTGCGGTAGCTATCAATGGAAAATCTGCTGTGGCTGACATGGCAACCCACACTTTCTTGTCAGCAGCCTCGCTCTCAAGCGCAGCCGCAACTGCTACAGCCAGTGCAGCTGCAGCGTCAGTAATACATAATGTTTGCTCATGCGCGGTAGAACATGTGGAGGAGGATATCAAAGTAGATTATGAATCTGAGTGTGTTTATGAAGAAGATGGTGGCAGTGAGAGCGAATTTACTGACGATGAGGTTGATGAGGAAGAGGATGGAAAGGACACAGCATGCTCTCGACTGCGTCAAGTGTGTCGAAGAAGCGTGGACAGCAAATGGTTTATGTATATCATTATGGCGGCTATCTTCTTGAATACTCTCAGCATGGGTATTGAGTACCATGGGCAGGTAATTAAATTGTTTTTAATATCTGTCAATATACGGAGAAATGGCGGCAAAGATTTTGTCTCTTCGGCTCCTTGAAGGTGAATAGTATTGGCTAATCACTCGTGCACTGGCCAATCAATGCGCCTAAAAAGCACTTTTCATCTATGTGTTATAAAATCAGTAAAGTCATTTTAGTTCTTTTTTTTTAGCCTTCAAAGATGACAGAGGTGCTTGAAATTTTGAATTACATCTTCACGGCCATATTTGGTATTGAAATGGTACTAAAGTTGATAGGCATGGGTCCCTATGGTTACATCAAAGATCCTTTCAACATATTTGACGGATTTATCGTTATCATGAGGTTAGTAGTATAACTTGTTAAATTTTTTAACTTTTGTTTCTATCTGCTTTGAACAATATCGTAGTTTATCACAAAACTGGATGTCAAAACAAGTGAATGTCCAAGAAGACAATGCTAGCGGACTGTTGCTTCGAACTGCAGTCGTTTTCTGAGGACTACAGAGCAGTAAAAAAATTCGAAGAAATAAATTTTAATTTTTTAAATGGGAAATAACAACGCTTATTTTGGAAAAAATGGAATTTTGTCAGACGGTCAGGTCAAATTCCTCTTCAAACTTCAATCAGATCTATCCATTTGTTCCTTTTTTCAGCATAGTGGAGCTATTTGGTGATGGTAACAGCAGTATATCGGTTCTGCGATCTTTCCGACTGCTGCGCATATTCAAGCTGGTCCGTTTCCTACCAGCCCTCAGGCGTCAGTTACTCGTGATGATCCATACAATGGACAACGTAATGACTTTTCTGGCTCTATTAATTCTCTTCATTTTCACGGCCAGTATACTGGGTATGAATCTTTTCGGAGGCAAGTACATGTTCCCGGATGAAGATGGGGAAAAAAGCGCAGCTCGTGCAAATTTTGATGACCTTTTTTGGGCGCTGGTGACTGTGTTTCAGGTAAGTCATTTTACAACCAAAAAACAGTAATTTCACGACCAAAAGCTTTGTTGACCCAAAAACAGATAGAATGCTACGTTTTTCGCAGTTACCTCCTTCGTTTCGAGATTTTTTGTTCAATTTTGCTTTAAATTATTTTTGTGTATGTTGACAAGAGTCTGTTTTAAACGCCATTAAAAAAAATACTCTTGGTCAAACGAAGGCAATCTTATGCATACCGAGGAAAAATGTGTATGCTACTGTAATAAGTCATAACTGCTGCAGTATGTCCTATATTTGGCTTGATATGCTAACATGTGTTTTTTTGTTGGCTGATAATCAACTTAATACATTTGCTCGAATGCATTAGAATTTGTCCACAATAGCCGTAAAGGAAACAGAACACCTCTTTTTGCGTCCTTCTAATGCATTTGCGCCATCGTTATCATATTACGAATAGCGTCACAGAGTCTCCATTTTACTCTTATAACGTGTCATTGCTTTGCGCTTCTGCTAAACAGGTTCTAACGCAAGAGGACTGGAACACAGTCATGTATGACGGCATGAGAGCTACCTCTAAGTGGGCAGCTTTGTACTTTATTCTTCTGATGACCATTGGTAACTACATTCTCTTCAACTTACTAGTGGCTATCCTGGTCGAAGGATTTGCTAATCAGCCGGTAAGATCCTGTGTTTGCGTCTTCTAGATGCTCCTCTTCTGCTCAGTCTAGATGATTTTCAAGTTGTTGCTTTATCTTTATCACTGCAGATTTAAAACTACATATACATATATATCTCTTCGTTGCCAGGAAAAGACTGGAAGCACTTGGAGTGTAAAATCACGAGCCTCAAGCTCAAGAAACAACGGGGACTATGACACTTGCAAGGAGTTAGTCTCGTATCCTGTCAATACCCCACGGGTTTGTGTAAGCCGCATACCCTCTCACGAAGACACGTCACATGGAAATTATAATGAACCGGATAAGCCAGTTCAGCATATGCGCTGCTCATTTCCGTCTCTATCGCCTAAATGTTCACTCTTTAGAGATGTAAGTTAGGTTTATATTATTTTTTATTAAGATCATATATTGGTTTTAGAGACCGAAGAACCTCCTAAAATTTGTCTCGCTCGTAACATTCGACTTTTTAGCTCGGTTGCTAGTAGCGCGCACCTAGTACCTTAGGGGCATGGGTTCGAGCCCCGTCGAAGCCTGAATTTTTTCAGGCTTCCTTTAAGCAACTTCTGCTATTGAAGCTCACAAACGAGGTTCATTTCTTTACTTATAAACCTTGCGTTTTTTGACAACGGTTGATGTTTTAAGGTGCGCAGACGGCGAAAGAAAGCCTCCTTCCCGTTCTTCACCTTTAACCTCTGCTTTCTCTCGCCCAAGCCTTTCTGTTACTCCCTTTCAGCTCGCGCTTCTCCCGCGAGGCAGAAAAAGGAAACTGCAGCACGGACTGTTCGTGACGAGCGAGAAAACCTCTGAAACCGCGTGTGATTGATTTTTTAATTTTAGGAGTGTCACGCCTCGGCTCCAGCTTCCCCAGCCAGTACCTCGCCTTACGTGGCACGGAAGACCTTGTCATTTGGTGATACAACAACTATGGTGATTGCTAACCCCGCGCATGCAGAGCGATGCATTACTTCAGATGATGAAAACGAGGTCTATAAACTCAAATAGTTATAATTGTTCCGATATACTACAGTTGAACTTTCCCCATCGGATGCATACGACAACAAAATGTTGTGAAGGAAACATACTGTTAGCAGAACCGGTTGATAAAACTGTTTTATGGATAAGGAAAATGCTGTCATTGATTAGAACTTCCCATGAACCTCATTCAGCCCTAAATTTTCTCCTCTGGTCTTATAAAATCTTCAAAATAATAAGAAAACCCCCGGGATTTAGAGACTATTTTAAATTTAACTATAAAGGTATTTCTGACTTTTCTGATTTAGGGTGTCTGCCTAATTATAGATCCCATCCATAGAAATTGCAAAATTCTAAAGACCTTGATAGGCCTTACTGAACACTCTGTTCCTTGATAGGCCTTACTGAACACTCTGTTGGGCCAAAAAATCCTGAAATTGATAGGAGGTTCCAGTGCAAACTTAATTTCAAGACTATTTAATTTAATCGGTAACTTTAGAAATGATGAAATATTTCTTGGATAGTTTTGGCTTGGTCGCCCTGACTTTCCCAACACTGATGGTTTGGAATGGAAACGGTACTGAGAAAGACCCACAATTCAGTGCTTTAGTTTTAACCCTTTCCTTTTAAACATCTACTTTGTTCTGTCGCTCAGACTAGCGCCAAAGAAGATGACGAATCAGTCGTTGCGAATGAGGGTGTCTCGAGATGCTGTCCTAGAAGGAGAAACTGGTCTTTATATTTATTTTCGCCGTCTAACAGGTAAGAATGCGTCAAACTTAGAACTACGCTTACTACCGCGCCTGCTGGCGCAATTCAACTTGCACTTTCATTTTTTAACAACACTAACATAGAGAGAAACATTCTCTGAGAAACCTTGACCTCAACTGAAGGTCATAGTGTACAATCTACGACACAATTCTAGACAAAATTAAACACGGATCAAGTGGAGAACTCCTATTCTATTCGCCTAGGTTTTAAATATGACCTAGCTTTGAAACTGGTATTAAAATTAAATTTTGTAAATATTGAAAAATAATTAGTATAGTTAATTAGTATAATTAGTATAAATTAATTAGTTCTAAATTGGAAGTTTCGTAACATAAGACACGTAGTTTTTATCTCAGGAATTAATAAAGACTATTATTATTATTATTATTATTCAACTCTCAAAAACCCTAAGCAAACTTATTCTGCACCCTACAGACTTAACGGATAATCGAAGTATGCAGGCTTGCGTATGAGAGCGCTTTTCTTTTTAGTGGAGGAAAACAAAACCGGAGAAAAACCAAGAAAAAGATCAGATGACGAGCACAGCAACACTTCTCTAACCTTATCTCTCGGTTTTAATTTTACTGACTTATCCCATTTTAGATTTCAGATTCAAAATATATGCATGTTCGACCTTATTTAATTTGTGTGTCTTCATAGGTTCCGCCAGTGGAACATCGCCCTGTATAAGAACAAGTGGTTTGATCGAGTGATATTATTCTTCATCTTGTTAAATTGTGTGGTTATGGCTCTGGAAAAACCTGGCTTGAAAAGTGACGACAAGGTAAGTTACTGATTCTTTGAAAATTTTGATAGCTACAACAACAATCCTTTTCTACGTGTTTGATAATTATTATAGGTTGTATGTTTTCTTGTCGGTTCACGTTCTGTTTCCCGACGAGATGATTACGTGCATGTAGGAAATAATTGCAGTCCATAAACCAGACCAATAATCTGAAGAGAATTTTATGAAACGCTGCGGTAATGGACCAAACAATCGGCCAGTAATTTTGTAGATAACAGAAGTAATGAAACTTCCAGCTCGAAATTCAACTAACTTCAGAACACAACGTACTTTTTTAGAAGTTAAGACACTTTTCCGTGAAAAAGAACAACGCATGCCAAAAGATTTTAAGGCCAAATTTAAATACCTGGTCGAGTCAAGAAAAAAATTTCATAATTCCTTTCCTCACTGAAGGCAACCCTCATAACAATTTTCTTACATTGCAGCTGAAGAAGGCAATTGACATCTGTATGTACATTTTCCTTGGAATCTTTACTCTAGAGATGATGGTCAAGGTACGTAAAACACTTCCCATTTCGATCCAGAAATATCAAGTTCAAAGATGGATGTTATGGAGTATCCCTCTTAAATTGCATTGTTATTAGTTCCGAAGATAATTCTGTTCTTCCTCAAACAGCAACCCTCGATAGTGGAATCAGGCCAGATGTATATTTGATCACCGTAGCCACCCTCTCCTTCTGTCTCCACAGGTTATAGCTCTCGGTTTCTGTATTGGTCGGGATACGTACATGCGCAATTCTTGGAATGTGATGGATGGCTTCTTAGTACTTGTGTCCTGGATTGACGTGATCGTTTCCCAGACAACTAAAACTGAAAGTTCCATTTTAGGAGTGTTACGAGTATTTCGAGCGCTCAGAACACTGCGACCATTGAGGTAAGTATGCAACAGCCGATCTTGTCAATCTTTTGCCGGTTTGATTTATTTTTTTCCGAATGGATATTCTTCATCATTTGAATGAACTGTCGCTTACGCAATCAGTCTTACTGCAATAGGTTTGTATATCGATAAGTGAATACATAGAGGTTCTATGTCAACCCAACCGTAGTTTGTTAGGTTCATTCTTGGTAACAAAGTAAATGGTTCAAGAGAGTTCCCATAAAAGGCCTTTTCTTTTTTTCCAATGTTTTTTTTAGGGTGATAAGCAGAGCACCTGGTCTCAAGATTGTGGTGGAGACGCTAATCTCTTCCCTAAAACCGATTGGAAACATTGTGCTTATCGCTGCGACATTTTTTATCATATTCGGCATCCTCGGTGTACAGGTAAGTATTTACCGAATCTCATTTCTCTGAATTTTTTTGACATTTTTCAAATAATGGAAAGACGCGACGGTAGAGAACTGGTTCGTTCCCACTGAGAGTGCTCGCAATATGCTGTTGTAACTCGTGGAAAAAGAAGATTCTGAAACGAATCTAAGTTGCCAGAAGAGTTTGCAGCTACGAAAAGAGTGACAAATATAAGGATATTGTGTGACTAAACAGAGGTTAAGATGGCACTAGAGAAGATTTTTACGGAAAATAGGCCATAAAGTTTTATTCCAAGCCGTCTACTTTCAGCTATCTCACACTAGCATAGACTCTGGAGATCTTTTTTACCACTTTTCTGCAGTTTGATTTAAGAATCACACGAAAGTTGAATGATAACTTTGTTATTTTATGCCGTTACCGTTGCTATGAAGGTCCCTTTTATAATTACCGTTTCATTTCATAAGGTTTTAAACGAGGAAACTAAACGAGAACGAACAAAGTTGTTTCTTAGAAATCTGCAGCATTAACGTGTTCATCATTTGACCTGCATTTAATTGTTCACAGCTTTTCAAGGGAAAGTTCTATCATTGTAAAGACAGTGATTACCCCACAGTGGTCACAAAAGACGACTGTCAGCAACTAGGACTCACCTGGGAAAACAAGGAATACAACTTTGATAACTTGGCGAGGGTAAGATTTATTCCGAGGATTTTAGTTTGTTTGTTTGTTTGTTTCTTTGAGTAATCTACATGATAGTAATGAAATAACTTGTTTACATGATTCTCTGCAAGAATTTTTAGGGAAAAAGTATAGGACAAAACAGAATAATCAATAAACGTTTCCTCATCTAGTTTCAAGTTATATTCAATCAGTTTTGTATTGTCCCCTACAGGCGCTTTTGACTTTGTTCGTATTTTCCACTAAAGACGGCTGGGTGACCATAATGTATGATGGGATAGATGCTGAAGGTGTTGACAAACAGGTAAATAGCTGATTAGTGATAACAACACACAACACGAAAGATAGAAACGCAAAACGAACTGTCAAACGATGGTGTTGCCCACGATTAAATTTACCTGATGCCCTACCGTAAGGCTCTAAGGTAAGCCTGTTAGGTCCCTCTTCTTTGGTAGTTTATCAGACAGTCAATATTATATAGTCGTCCCTTTATACGACTGACCCTCCCCCCGCCCCCTTGCGTTTCCGTATCCCCTTTTCCAAGTTCCCTCCCCCTCCCCCCAAAAAATTCCTCTGACCCTTTCCCCGTAGAGAGATAATGACTAGTCCGAAGATATTAGAGCTTATGATTAACAGGGTATTGTTACTCGGAATGAAATTGGTGTTAAGAATTTAACTTTTCCTTCTTTCATAGCCAATTCCAAACAGGAACAAATGGAACGTTTTATATTTTGTGGCGTTTCTCTTATTGGCGGGGTTTGTGGTGCTGAACATGTTGGTTGGTGTGGTTGTGGAAAACTTTCAGAAGTGTCGCGACATGATAGAAAAAGATCGCCTGGCTGAGAAAGAAAAAAAGAGGCCAGAGAAACTTCAGTCTGGTATGTTGTAATCAGGCATTTTTATGATTGCCTTATTAAAAAGAAAATATTTTCTTTAGCTGTAGATAACATCAGGCTTTTTGAGCTGACTTCAGAGTTGAATCTTGACCAATCTATGCCTACTTTTTCTCACAGAGGCTGACAGGGATGAGGCGGACGATTTTCCACAACCTCGAAGGTTTTTCCACCGAATTTGCACTCATGGCTACTTTGACCTTGGTATCTCGGCTGTTATATTCCTGAATGTTATTTGTATGGCTATGGAGCATTACAATCAACCCGAAGTGAGTCGGGCTTTCATCAGGAAGTTTCTTTTTTTACTGTAACTGGATAGTTTTGTTTCACTGAACGGCATGTTAGTCCATATTTCTCCTTGACCTTTACGAGACAATCTGTGCGGAGTCAGTCGAGGCTGACAGCCGCTTGTTCATGGCAATAGCTTGTCAGAATCCTGGAATGAAGCTGATTTTCATTTAAGGCCCTTGAAGTTCTGTAGCATCCATGATCTGTGAATGCAAATATGTACCGCTAAAGAATAATGTTTTGTTTTGTGAAAGGGCAAGAACGAGAATTCAAGTGACACCACTTTTGTCCAACTCGTAGAATCTCTTTGATCCAAAGTTTGGAAATGCAAAAAAATTTTTTGTCAAACTCGGCCTCTCAAGTTCTGCGAAAAATCAGTCTCCCCCATCCGGGTGGCCGTTACAACTTGTTGCATAAATATAGCGCCGTTAGGCATTTATGCAGTTACTTATTTCCTTCAACCTATTTTATTCGATTTCCTTTAGGAAATGACATTGTTTCTTCGATACGCAAATTACGTATTCACAGCCATTTTCATCGTGGAAGGCGTTGTGAAGATTTACGCTCTAGGATTCAAAAAGTACATCAAAGAAAGGTATGATCACTCATCAGTGTTATTTTCAGCGCTTTTACTTTCTTGTTTTTAAGTTTTTTCTTAAAAGCGTATGAATGTAAACTGTGTTTCTTCTCATCAGATGGAACCAGTTGGACTTGCTTATCATTCTGTTATCAATTGTCGGAATTGTCCTGGAAGAAATGAAATCTAAGCTGCCAATCAACCCGACTATCATCCGAGTTATGAGAGTGCTTAGAATTGCACGGGGTAAGCACAGTTGTGGCCTTATTTGTGCCTTACGTACAATCCACCCTCCCACGGCATGCCGCACACATCCTTCGAATTTCACGCAACTCCATTGGCTCTATGTTGTTTTAGTTGTCACGCAACTCCCTTGGCTCTATGTTGCTGCTGTGGTCACGCAACTCCCTTGGCTCTATGTTGTTGTAGCTGTTGTTATTGTTACTAATGTTTTTTTGAGCTCAGAAATTTGTCTGTAGTTGTCTTGTATACGATAATTCTCGATCAAGAGAACTCAGGGCCACAATAGTGTATGTGTTTCCTTACTCTGTTACTTTTTGACTACAGTTCTAAAGCTATTGAAGACTGCTGAAGGAATCCGAAAACTGCTGGATACAGTCGCCGAGGCCCTACCGCAAGTAAGTAGCGTTAAAACTAAACATCTGCGCACTGAAGAAATGTTGTGTTTTGTGTGAATATCGAGTGACAGGCATACGTCATTGTGTCAGACCACAACGGGATTTAAGACTGGATACTTGGTGTGTATCCTCGCCGATTTAAGTTTCGGTCAATTCCACGTTTATTTGACCCCGGGAATCTGCCTTATTCGTGATATTTTCATCGTTGTTTTTTTCTTAGTAAAGTCTTTTGGATCTCAGATAAAATAATCTTAGCTCAGATTTTCAACCAAGCGGCAACCGGTGCTTATATATTTCGTAACGTCACTTGAGGTTGGGAGAGCGGTGTATATTAAGTTGTCTTATCATCATCACCTTACATGCCATGCAGAGGTTACACCGTCATCCTTCTCTCCTACTTTGGATAAGTTTTTACATGTAAGCAACTATGCATACGCCTGCAGTGTAATGTTGCAATATCCACTAATTAAAAAACTATGACATTTTTTTAATCGCAATACAGGTTGGCAACCTCGGTCTTCTCTTCCTTCTAATGTTTTTCATCTTTGCTGCTTTGGGAATGGAGTTGTTTGGTCAAGTGGGTACGTTCTGAACGGTCGTTTATTGTCATTTTGATGTTGTGCTTTGAAAATTGTTTCTTAAGTTATATGTCATATCTTACTAACGACACTCATCTGAAACTTGCTCTATTGGCTTTTGTTCTTATTGGCTATTAAGCTTTCGTTGATTCTCACTTCATAACGAAGCTGTCATAATTTTTTGGTTTTGTTTTTGTTTTTTTTCTTTATAACGGAGCTTGTTGTACCAGGCCCATATTTTTTTTTATCGAAGTGCGTGTAAAGCTATCTAGCAAATAAGAGTTAAAAACACCTTCGAGGCTATCCACAGGATAGAGATTTATCCCATAGATAGCTTTAGCCATCCTTTGGACAACAGGGCCTCACAAATAACATTTCTCTTTCTACCTAGTATGCACGGACGAAGTACCATGCGAGGGACTGGATCATCACGCTCACTTCAAGGATTTTGGTTTTTCAATGTTGACATTGTTCCGAGTGTCAACCGGAGACAACTGGAATGGAATTCTGAAGGTATCAAACAAATATTACCAACAGTTTAGTGACATAGTCTCGTTCATCTTCATCGTTATTATTATGTTGGCATTGCTATTAGATTCATCAGTTTCATTGGCATTATCGTCAAAGTCATTTTCGTTTTTTCATAGTAAGAAGTCGTTCCAGAGGCGCTCGCAAATATTCAAATACCTTTACAGGAAAATTTCAAACTTACGGTTGCGTCGAGTTCGATCACGAAACGTGCTCACAGTAACTAAGGAAAAACTAAATAATCTCTTGTTGTTGTTATAATTGTTTTTGACCGATAATATCTAGTCACCAAGAAATATGAATTTGATTTCCTTCCTTTTTCTTTTAACAGGATATAATTAACAAGAAGCGTTGTGAACTAAATCCCACTCCAGGCTGCGCTGCACTGGAACACATCGCTCCCATCTATTTCGCTATATTCGTCCTGGCGACACAGTTCGTTCTTCTGAACGTAGTGGTAGCCGTCCTGATGAAGCACTTGGAGGATGCCAAGGAGGAAAGTTCTACAGCGTCTAAAGAAGGGTCAGATGATGTGTCGGCAATGCAAGTGGATGGAGTCTCGGATCCCAAACATATCCAGGGAGAATCTTCTATAGATCACGAGTATCGCATGGTTCCTTCCAGTACGAAAGGAAAAACAGAATCGAACAATAACCCTATGGTTGTAGTTCCAGTCGTTGGCTTTGTAAGGCAGTCGAATGGCTCCGATAGCAGCTTAAGTTCCTTTGGCCATGTTCAACCTGAAGGTGGAAGCAGTCATTGGCTTCCAGCGATCGATCAAACAAAACCTGAGCATAACAAGAGCCTCGCTTCAATACGACTCCCACCGATCGGAAAGAATTCGGATAAACTCGAAGATTCATCGCTGTCTGAGCTGTCAAGCCCCGAGAACGACAAACCCAGCAAAAGGCTTGATGGTCAGATGTCTCCACGGGCTCCCATCTACGTCATGAGCGAGGACAGCGACTTGTATGATAGTAACATGGAGGTCGATCACGATCACAGCAAAGTGTTTAAACCGGTTGAAAGATCCGCCAAATCAAAAGGATCTGTTCGTTCACCTTCATCTCAATCAAGCAGTGAGGACGAGGGAAAGAATAACAAATCACAATTCAGAAAGCCTCACCACAAATCAGAATCCCCAAGAGGAAAGACTCGCAAAAAACAACCTAAAACATCCATCGTGTCACCCAAACCAGAGAGTAAACCAGCAAAACCTGATGCTCGGTGGGCATCTCCAGTATTAAATGTGGAGAAAGGCACAGAAATAATCAAACTAGATAGTCCTAAAAAAGACGAAAACCAGGGAACTGATTATCAAATGCAAAGCTATGTGTGATAGACTTTCGTCAAACGAGAGAAACATAAATTAGACAGAGAATGTAATTTTAACTGACACACTAAAGGCAAAAAGAGTTGCCGGGTTTTCTCTCATTTGTGAACTTCTTTACGCCCTTCTTTTGTTGCAGGACAGCAGTTTGAAAACATTGCAGCTAGAGCTAAACTTTCCTGCCGAAAGCTCTTGCATTTGAGGACTTATTCGCCCGTTTAAATTGAGCGCATTCTGATGGCCGGTCTGAATAAGCACTTCTAAACATTCTCGATTCAAGAGACATAAAGTAAACAATTAAAATAAGTGTAGGTGTAGAAGTTTTATTTTTGTAGCTGTTGACCGATCGTTGTAAATAAAAAACAGCTCTCACAACGTGTAAAAGTAAATAAAAAGTAGACGATTCCTGTCTCTTGACAGGACCGAGCAGGATATGCAAGGAAACATAGAGAAGAAGGTCATAGTTTGTCGAAATTCTTTAATCAATGGTATATGGTTTTTAAGAACAGAATAAAACAATTGAAATGTTTTAGGTCACAATATTCTTCTCTTCTTCTCAATGCCAGTAATGTTTCATTACTCGGGAACGGAGGCTGGACCATTTGAATGATTGTGAACAAATGAGCTAAAACTTAATGGGAAGGACACTCCTTTGCTCGAGAACACGGCTGTTTATCATCACTCACCTAACAGTGCGCGCTTTCATTGAGGAATACTACACAAAAATCCCCGTATGAGGGCCTTAAGCAATGGCATAAATAGGACCAGTCTAGGCTGTACTGACCCGCGAGCTGGGACCAAAAAAAATTAAAGGAGGAAAGAAAAAGAACAACAGCTTTATGATAAATGGTTATTGACTGAGTTGGGTCGGAACAGACAGGAAAATCTTTGGCCCTCATGTCATGACCTGGAGCCAAATGTGTTTCCGAATGGCCTTCTCACTTAGTTGAAAGACACAGTGTTGAGCATACGAGCCGAGGTTTCACAAGAAAACTCCCAGTCTTGTAGAATAACTATTGTTCGTTTATTTCCAAGTCGTTCAGTAACAAACATGAAAATGTCAGAGTAAAGAAATTTGACATCTTACTTGAGTTTAAAGCATTTAAAATATTTGAAAACTTTAAATAATCAACGAGCACGCCGTAAAAGCAATTTACCAAGAAAACTCCTGTCAAGGCATGCTCTCTTAAATGATGACAGGCAGAAATATTTTTATATACACTTTTTGTTTGTAAAACTTGCTTCGTTTTGAAATTTCATTAAGACAATTACCTGCCTTGAGGCTCGTTGAATTTTGTACACAACATTCACTTCGCCTCAGCCAAATAATTGCAAGCTAATCTATGTTGAAGATTTTCAGCTGACGAGGTAATAACTTGTTTTAATCTACATGTTGTTTTCTTTTCAGTTCCAAAGTTCTGTTCTCAACTTCTACTTCCCCAATGAATTTCCGGAACAGGTCACTAAAAATGAAACCTTGTTCCAAGATCTAGTTGGAACTTTTACTTTACTTTCTTGTGCATACTTTGTGTTGAATCATCCGCTGAACAACGCGGTGATGCAGATACAGTGCTACGCTCTACGAGCTCTGAAATATTATTCGACCAAAACTTAGTGTGACCACGCTGCGGGCGGAGTTTACGAAGAAGACATGACGTCATCTGAAGCAATAATTTCTCAACCCACCTACGAAGGGGTTAAAATTTCTCGCCAGAAATTAAATTTTTATTTCAAATATGATTTTCTTTTTCATCATCTGTGTGCGCAATGTCTCAGGCTGATATCAGCTGAGTAACTTTTCCAAATCTCTACAAAGTTCATCAACTTCAGAAGATCTTCCTTTGTACTTGCCAACATTTACTCCCATAACACTTACAAGGGCAGCCACCTGACATTAAACAAAAAAAATTATTTTCTCAGGTAAAAAATGTACCTATGAATGGATTTAAAAAATGTAATGAGACAACAAAATTAATATACCATTAAGAACAGCAACATTCTTACGTTACCTCTGAATTGTAATCCATGAATTTTCTTAAAGCGTACAGACAATTATGTTCTGAAAACGAACAGCGATTTGCTTTAGTGAGTCCCAACACTTAACAAACATCTATCAGGGGCGAGAATGAAGATAAAAAAAAAGGGGGGCACATAAACACATTCTTTCAGTCTATATTTAGAAATGAATAAAGGGGTAAGTTTCTAAAGAAACTGTGGTGCTGCGTCGGTGGGAGAGTATAGCAGGTAATTTAGTGTTAACAACTGGGTTGAAAACGTAAATTAGCCACCGTAAAGAGTAAAAAAGCTGACGTTTCGAGCGTTGGCCCTTCGTCAGAGCGATTGGCGAAGGGCTAACGCTCTGACGAAGGGCTAACGCTCGAAACGTCAGCTTTTTTACTCTTTACGGTGGCTAATTTACGTTTTCAACCCAGTTGTTAACACTAAATTACCTGCTATATTTAGAAATGGACGAAACGCTGTTCACGCATGCCAGTTTGAACTGTATCTCTCGCTTTTTGTTAATTACTGAACACTGGAGTCTTCAGATAACGAGCTACTGGTCATAAACTACTGGCTAAAAAAGACATTTTGGAATGCGCAGTTCGGTGGCAAACACGATGTTTAGAACCAACTCCCTCCATAGAACTTACCTGTCTCTGGAGAAACATTTCTGTTTAAAAGTTCAATGACGGCTGTAGAACACTCTAACGCAATGTCTTCGTGTATCTGATGGGTGAGCACAAATAATAAATAAAAATAAATCACGATCGAGAAAAATCATAAAACAGTTTCAGTGTTAAAAAAATTATATATTAAATGTACGAAAAAAATGAACGACTAAATGAAAAAACAGACCAGTGAGAAGCACGTAGCTACACAAAGATCATAAACAGATGTCACCAGTTGTCCAAACCCAAGGTTTTCAAGCCGCTATTTGGCTGACTACTTTCGCTGAAAATCTAGCAACCAAAATGGTTGCAACTTGGAGTGCTGATTGTAATAAAATACACACTGAACACGCAAGTACCTTTAGTCTTGCGATATTGGAAACTAAAGCAGCCCCGACAGTTTGGAGTTCCGAATCTTTGCTGAGGAGACAATTGATTGTCACAGCAGGAAGAGGTGTGGGGTGACTGTCACCAAGCAAGGAGGAGTGACCAGACTGATGGCTGATAGCACAGCAAAACTGCCACGAAAGAAAAAATGTATCATCAAGGTAGCAAAATGAAACAAAACATAACTTTGGCTAACACTATGATATTCATAAAAAATTTGATAATTTCTGACTCGGACTTCTATCGAATTCAAGACCTGAACAATATCATTTATGATAGTATGTTTCATTTACCAATTTGATGCACTCAACTTGAGTTGCACAAGATGGAATGCTTGGGAAACTCCCACAGGCCTTTTTTACAGTCTCCTGTAGTCCTGTTCATGATAAAACAAGTACATAACATTTATGGACTCAGCACAGAGTAATACTCAAAAATTCTCCTCCCCCTTCATATCATAAAAATTAACCCAGAGACACAGGTTTGCCTGATACTGTAACAATTCACGTACAATTTACAATGCATGTTTGCATGCTGGTATCATATGCTAATTATAAAAGAGAGAATAATTGTAAAAACATAGAAGTACAAGAAAATGGGATGGAATATGTTCTTAGTCAACAAAATATCGATTTTAAGTCAATCATCTCACCTTTGGAGGATGAAAACAATTCTTCACACTGTGATAGCAACTGCAGAAGTTTTAAAGTGAGATGTAGTGCCTGGCTGCCTTCCTCTGTCAGGTATTTATCAATAAGCTGATCTGAAGGAAAAAAAATCAGTATTTATTTAATAGGAATGTAGATCATTCACTGATATCTGAATAAAGTACTTTATTGCCCAATGAAGTGATATTAATATTTTTTTTAAATAAAAGAGGGGTTTGATAGTTGTAGAAGATGAAGAATCTGGTTGTTGTTGCAGTGTGGTTCAATTCAGTACGAAACCTATTGCAAAATATAACTTACCTAATTTTTTAATTTGGCTCTCATTCACTTTTGAAAGGTTTTTAGCTTCAAAGCATCTTTTAAGTTCATCAAGGTAAATTAGATCTTCATCTGACAATTCCATTTTTTTCAAACACTCTCTCAGATCAGATATCAATGATGGGCCCTTTTGAGACAAACAAATATATGTGTGGTCATCCAAAATAACCAGCAGTATACCTTCATTTAAAAACTTGGTACACAGCATATGAACATATATCTTTTGTCATCATATTGTATTAAAACTTACCTTAACATCCTTATAAACATTAGGGTTCCTTGATATGGCACCTTGACTAGAGTGTGAGCCAAAAAAAAAAATATATATATATTAAATAAATAAATACAGAACAGATGTAAGTTCCTATTAAGTTGCTTCATTTGGTGAATGATAATCTTACTCTATTTGTTAATCTTAAATAGTTATTAGTATAACAGTTATTAGCCCAAGAATCAAGCTTACTCAGTCTGTAAAAAGTAATTCTAATTATTAATTATCAATGATTGTAAATAAGGTCATGAGAGATTCTGTCAAGTACAATTGACAGGTTTTGAATTGGAGTTTTTAAAAATATTGATGTACATGTTGGGTATATGTGCGCGTTTTCATCTGATCTAAGGTTTGAAATACCTCTTAAAATTCCTTTTAGGTTAGATATTACATATAAAGGAATTATAAAAGTTTTAAGAAATTTAGGATAACCTCGGTCCACCTACAACATGTGCTATGTACATTGTGTATATCCAATACCTTAGCAACTGTACATGCCAGTGAGCACAAACTTATAACTTAACCTGCATAGTTACTGGTTTGGAAGCTGTTCAATAGAATGATGCAACACTTCTAGAAACAAGCCAGAGAGCTGTGGATAAACAATTTGTTCCCTCCATTCCTCTAATTTTTAACAACTCCATCAGCAAACACACCCTAAAAACCATAATTTTTCTTAGGGTGCATGTATCTGTGCAAAGTCATTTGGTAACTGTAGAAATGTTAATTTTAGTAAGCTTAAGTTATTTCTCAAGCCCAAAAATAAATAGTACAGTTTCTCAATTATTTTTATCATCATCTAATAGACCAATTACCAGCCATCTGGTGGTTCCCTTTGCTTAGTCTTTCCAGGGGGACCATTTCTTGGCTCAAATATTGATTCTGGTGCTCTTGATGTTGATGTTGATGGTGTAGGGGATATTGACGTGCCTCCTGAAGGCCTCACAGATACAGAGTCTATCATGGGTCTTATCATCTGACCAAATGAACTGAAAAAATTCAGTTCAGCAGTTATTTATTGATTATCACCAAAAAATATATTAATTTTTAAGAATGAATCTACCATGACTAAACTGCAGCCATTGCAAAAAAATAAAACAAGAATTACCCTGCCTCATGGTCAAAATTCTTAGTATCCTCAGACCCCCAGCTGTATATTACACCCCCATTAGGCTCCCAATCAATGCTCCCTCCCACAAACAGTAGTATATACACCCTTCTTCCTGCCCCTTTTCCCTGTATTCAAGGTCTGAGACCTTCACCACTATTGGTCACTGATTCAAACATAAGGCTGTCCTGTGTCAACAAATCAACTTGCATACTGTATAAAAATGATTCTATCATTACTGTTAGTAATAGTTGTTTATTGTACACATTTACCTGTTCAGAACTTCTGAGGGAAGGTCTCGAATATGTTGTGGTATTTTATTCCCAGTCAGAAACATGGCCACTTCTGATGAGAAGGTGTTGCAGTTGTGTTCAAACAAGTTGTAGTTTTCTCCTCTGATAATCAATTCAAAACAAAAAGTTAGTAATGAGTGTTTAGTGATTTCTACAGCTTTGTAAAGAGAGCTTCATTTACTTGCAAGTTTATTGAAAAAAAGGACATAAAGTGAATCAATATGTACCTAAAATCTTCTTGTCCAACAGCACTTAAAAAATCAATGAAAAGATCTTGAGTTATTTCTGTATCACCAAGATCAACAACCTCATCTGGACTACCAAGAATTGTTCCACCCTAACAAAAAAAAGAAATTGTTTCAATCAGTAGAGAGTAACCTATGGTACAAGTAAAAGAGAAAAGAAAGCTGTAGCAGTCATGCTACCAGAAATTAATAATGTCTTGTTCAGATTTCAGAGTTGAGCCAGGAGTCCAGATTTACTTCAAGACCTTACAGTATTTCTTGAATTACTGTAGTTAGAGAAAAGATTAAGATATTACATACTGGGAGACAACTGTTTATTCCGTCACCGCCATAAAAAAACTCCCTATCATAACACACCAGGGCTGTATGCCTAAAAGAAGTATTAAAAGATAATAAAAAAAAGGCAAAAGAAAATAACACAGCATTTAACTCCACACTTGGTCCTGAATGAGACAAAAAGTAAATTTAATTTACAAACAAAAAAAATACATACATGTGATCACTTGCAATTAATTGTAGAATGACACTAAGTAGTCAAGCAACAAGATTACTGAAAGTCATATCTATTCTGAGGCTCTGAGGTCATACTGAAGCAATCTCTCCAATTATCAAGATATTGGCCTGATTTGCAACAAATTCTTAGGAACAGCCAAAATCACATTGATTTATTGTTACATGTTGAGAGAATTCGTTTTCAGATCTTAGTGATAATCTTTGTCAGGACTAAATTGGAAAAGGTAATTATACAGTGTCTACAATGCTTAAAATGATTGATTCTGATCAAACATTTCAAACCAAGCAATGCTCCTTGTTCATAGCCATTTAAAACTTTCTACGAATAGTTAGGTCATGGGCCAAGGGAAACTAAAAATCATAAATCAAAATCATACTACCGATGCGAGTAATTAACAGAGCACACAGTACAGTTAAAATCTTAAATATATTCTAGGCTAGGAATGAAAAAAAAAATCACCCAATATTCTATTCAGAAAAAGATAAGCACATACCAGATCCCATCGATTTGCTTGCCTATGGATACAAGTGCAGAAAAAATAACTAATAGTTAGTGTATATACAGATTTCACCACCTTAATAAATGTATAAGTAGATGTTAGACTAATACCCTATTCACACCAGCAAAACATGTTTTGTTAAACTGACTTTTACTGAATGAAAATCACAAAGAGAGAACTGGAAAAACTCCAATGGGCTATATTTTAAATAGAAAATATTATGTAAAGTTGGTTCTACTAAGAAAAAAAAATTAAAGTGTGTTTAACAAAACAACTTTAAAACATGTTTAAGCTTTGGTGTGAATGGGGTATAAGATGTAATAAGCTGGCTCGGTATCACATCTACATACCAAATAAACAGACCTGGCGGCTCGGTTGTAATTAAAAAGATGAAGTCGGATAAATGTTTAATTTGCCCTTAAAATATTCCCTGAATTTTAAAACTTAGTAACTCTGGGCTTTTATTCCAAAGGATTAAGTGTTTAACAGTCGCATCTTTGCTGAGTCACGGTGCGAAACACAAAATTAAAAAGATGTTTCAGCTGGGATATTTCTCGCATAATAAAATAAGCAGTCTTCTATTATTATCGTGCTTACCAAGTATAAAAGGTGACAGCTGTCTTGCCATACCTCTAGAGAGGTCGTAAACGTACAATTTGACTGGAAATTTTGCCATCGATCTACAAATGCCGACGTGAACCATTCAAAATCATTCAAAACATTGAAGCTTGCTGAGGTAGACTGGGTACCAAAATCGGAAAGCTAATGGAGGACTGGAAGCTAAAAGGTTGAGTTAAACAGTCACGACGTAACACCTTGTATGACGTTTCCGTAAAGGATTTGTGATTAGGTGATACTTTACCAACGGGGGGATCGACGAAAGCGAAGACGATTAGAAACAAAACGGTAAGAGTTTCCATTGAGAGAAATGATGTTGTGTCATTACGAAAGCCGAGAAGGGACTTCAGACTTATAAAATATGACTTAAGAGTTAAGACTTAAGGCTTTACACTTTACGAAATCATACTTCTCACTACAGAATTCTGTCCTTAGTCTTAATTCAGTCTTCAGTATTCAGGAGGTGAAAAAAATTTTTAAGTCCGTCAATGTGCGTCGTTATGTTTCGGTGAGCGAAAAGTCCCTGATCCTTAATGGTTTTAGTCACACAACTACTTGATAAATGTGGACATCAAGGATGTAACCGCTCTTTACAAAGAAATGTATGCTGAGAGTTGTGTCGAACATAACAAGGATTTTGAAGAACTAGTGAGATTGATCAAACCAGATTATAGTTTAATTGAACGCGAGGCTCTTAAATTGTACTGTGAGATTGTCCAATTTCTTAAAATGGATGACTTAATCCGACCGTTGTGGTTTTCTCTCGCCGCATTTTACCAGCATTCGCCCCTCGTCTTGCGTGTTGACTAGTGTGGGAAAAGCACATAACAAGTAAAGGTAAAGCAACAGTTTCATTACTTACATTATGTTGTCCGTATGTGGCATTTTCATGTCCCGTAACAAAGCTATTTCGAGTACTTTTTCGTTAGGATGTCCGAAAGAGAATAACTTGTCATAACTAGAACATAACTGTAATAGTACTACAACAGGACATAAAGTTGTAAATTGTACTAACACTGATGCTAATGTTGAATGGTCAGTTAGTCTAGCGATCGATAATGTACAAAATCTTCGAGTGTTAACTAAAAATATCAACGATAGCGTCAAAAATGTTGATTGCCAAGAAGGTCCCGGAATATATGAAAATTATGGAATGACGCCGCCTACTTTGTTTTCCGACTAGAACCTCTTAATTATCTCACTGTGCTTGAGTAGTCATAATTGAAGCTTATTATTATATAGATTCCACACTCGTCAAAACATGTTGTTCAATTATGCCTTCTTAAAGGCAGGCCAGACGAGGAGAGGAGGAACGGTGGGGAATTGCCGAGGAATGAATATGGCATTTTTATAACAGATCACTCAACATCTTGCCTACTACGCCATTTCAACTAACTCATGTGTGTCGATGAAACAACACCTAGACTTTCCTAATACTCCTCCTTCTTCAACTAAACTCTAACAGCCTTAGTTGTGTCCTTGAACAGAAACATTTCATTGTTGAAAAATTAACAAAATATTTAAACGGTTAAACTGCTACAAGCATTATTCACACTGACTGGTGAGTTCTAAGAACCTTTACGAAAATGCATTTACAAGGTCAATAGCTCTTGGCCTCATTTTTGTTTCATACTTGAAACAGTCCACGAGAATACCCCGAAGGGAAGCACCAACTGTGTCTGGCAAGAATTCTAGTGAGCGCGGGCATTCTTTCTTCCTCATGATGGCAATAAGTGACTCAACGTCGCTGTCGAAATCATCACTTTTCCTTCCAGCCGCTGCTTCCTTACCTTCCAACAGTTGCTCCTAACATTCCATCTCGGTGAAAAGTTCAACGAGTGTACATGCCAATGACCAGACATCTGAATGGACTGCTGCTTTCTTCCTCTCAAGTAGACATTCGGGGGCCATGTAAGAGGGAGTTCCTCGGATTGCTGAGCTAATCGTGTGAGTAAGGGATAGCGCGGACTTCAGTTTGCTCAAACCCGCGGTCGCACAACTTTGTGATGTGAGTTTTCTCAGCTGCCAGCACATTGGCAGGTTTTATGTCTCTGTGAAGCAAAGGAGGTTTCAAATTATGCAAGTAGGCAACAGCTAACGAAACTTGCTTCCCAACATCAAGCTTATTGCAGCTTTGAGTCGTGAAAGTGTCAGAGCTCTCGTCATCGTTTAAGCACAGAAAAGGTACATCATATCGGAAGCTTGAAGATGAGGAATTTTTCTCGTTGGTTTAATAATAATAATAATAATAATACAGTATTTATATAGCGCTATTTCTATTGCTATTCAATAGCGCTTTACAATTCATTTATAAAGGACATTGATAAAATTTATAAAAACGTGAACATCACTAAAATATGAGTAAAAAACTAGCTAATAAAAAATCTGTAATGATGAGAGTAAAAACTGTGAAACTTATAATAGAACTAATTCACTAACTAATTAACTAACTAACTAACTAACTAGCTGACTAACTAATTAACTAACCAAGTAACTAGCGACCTAGCTAACTATAAAATAGCTAATTAACTCGCTAAGCTAATTATAAAATTTGTTAAGAAGGTTAATTATAAAATTTGTTAAAAAGGTATGTCTTTATACAGGTCTTAAAGTCTGATAGCGAGCTGCTCTCTTTTATGATGTTCGGAAGAGAGTTCCATAGAGTCGGTGCTACAAAAGAGAAGCACCTGTGACCATAACTTACTAGCTTGACAGGTGGTACTTTAAGTAAGTTTTTGGAGGAGGACCTCAGATTTCTGGTTGGTACATAAGGCTTCAGCAGTTCAGTGATGTAACTAGGGGCTTGTCCGTTGAGCGCTTTGAAAATCAAAAGTAATATCTTGTAATCTATGCGCTGGCTAACTGGGAGCCAGTGAAGCTGCTTTAAAACAGGTTTGATGTGGTCATACTTTCTTGTACGAGTGACGACACGAGCTGCAGCATTCTGGACATTTTGTAGACGATCTATCAGGAATTTGGGTAAACCATATAGTAGCGAGTTGGTGTTATCTAGCTTAGATGTAATGAGCGTATGAACTAGTTTTTCAGTATCTGCTAGAGATAAGCAGTCTCTTATCTTGCTAATGTTTCTAAGATGGAAGAAACAGGCTTTGCAGGTACTGGTAACATGCTTATCTAGTGACATGTGTTCATCAAAGATAACTCCAATGTTCCTTGCAGAGGGAGATGGCTCGATCCGCTCACCAGACACATCAACATACTCTATTGATGGGGGTGGACGGTGTCGTGCACTCAAGATCAATAGCTCCGTCTTTCCTCTGTTTAGTTTCAGTTTATTGCACACCATCCACGAGTCTATCTCAGAAACACACGCCTCTATTTTTGCTATAGAGCTGGGTAGTTCGGCGGGGATGGGCTTGAAAGAGAGATAGAGCTGGGTGTCGTCGGCGTAGAGATGGTAATTAAGTCTGTGCCGTCTAATGATATCCCCATTAGAGAAGTGACCTGGTGTAGCACCTAATAATTATTTCATTTTAAATAACTTAAGACGTATAACCACCAATAACTGTATCATTTTCTTGAAATTTATTCCTGTTATTAAGGGTTTTCAATATATAATTAAACCACCGCACTATTTGTATCAAACATAAGAAAGTACACGATAAAATACGCGAAGTTAAGAGCGGACTGGATTCAATTTCCTGAAGCACCTGGATCAAAACTTTCGCCAATGCATTGCTGACCACAATTTGATATGTGGTGCGTCATGATGGTGTAATAAAACCGACAATTATGTTTAGCAAAGTGAGCCTAAAACTATCTATGAAGTTGCTGCCGAAACAAGACTATTTTGAAAGAAAATTGAAGCTCTAAAATAATTGAGATCCTCTTTTTCCATGATGAACTTGATTATGCTCTGAAAGATAAGAAGAAAAAGCATGAACTTTTTAGGCAGTTATGGTTTAAAATAACTTCCTAAATAAAAAACGGTTTGCAGTGTACACCCTCTGGAAATATAGAATACTGGAAACCTGTCAACCCAAAAAGTTACATATAAAACACTGGGCAAGTTTGGAGGTGACCGTCACAGATGAGGCTTGTCATCAAAAACTCCCTTTTTTAAGCTGGAAAAGTCGCGTTAAATAATTGAAAGATTAAAATATGATAAGTCATCAGATACTAACCCATAAGCCGTGCCGTTCTAGAAACAATTTCAAATACAATACTTCTGGTAGCATCACATCCATAAAGAGGCGGGTCTGTAAGGAAAGGTCTTTCGTAAGTGAAGCAATGATAGGCATTGCAACTGCTGTCATGCACTCGGCCTGTTTGTTTGAAAACGAAAGGATCATAATGTCAATAAGCACTAGATAAAAAACGCAAAGGTCGCTTTACTTTTTTGTTAGTTTTAAACACCCTGCATGTTGTGTACCATGATAGCCGAAAATCGCGAAACTAAACTAAACTAAGGCCGTGCGAGCATATTTATTTCTGCGTTATGCGGAATAATGGCATTTAAACAATCATCTTTTAAAGAACACTGAAAAAACGAAATTACGTAGCAAAGCAACTTGTCCCTGCACACAATCAGTAATTGTCGATGTCCTACAAGCGATTCTAAGTATCGAAATTTTTTTTGTTCAGATATTTTTAAATCTCCAAATGGAATTACCGCGTGTACTCCGAGGGGTCCAGTTGCTACCAACCTCATCAAGTCTCGGTGCAACAAAAGACGATGTTTGGTGTTCAGTGCCAACCTTAATGTATACTTTTGTTAATTAGGAGTTCTGTTGTTAATGTCTGAAAATGAAAGGAAGCAATACAAACTTTAACCCGTAATTTAGATTTGATAAATTCTTTATAATAAGTGTATCGTTAACGTACAAACCTTCAAATATGCCTTCTCTAGAAACCGTAGAATGCTACCTTGGTTTGAGTACACCGATCTACAAAATAAAATGGATAAAATGAACAGAACGCTAAGTTTAAAAACATTATAAACGAGCCAAAACAAAACAGAGAAAGTACAGTGGAATCAAGATTTTTTCTAACATTCAAGATAAACAAAACTTTGTTCAAATAATAAGGTAGCTTTAGGAATCGGTGTAAAGTTACAGTGTTTAACTGAGGGAAGGGAAACAGCATTTCAAGGGTTCGAGTTATCAGGAGGTTCGAACAATAGGGATTCCACTGTACACTCACATGTCGTGGCTCCGATATGGGTGGGGCAACGTCCAGCCACAATCCACTATGGTGGAATCCTTGGCCTCTTCGAAAGAAATGCCCAAACAAACGCAGTGGTAGCACTCAAAGCAGGTAAGGCACTGCACCATCTCATTGCGACTTGAAAGTTGGGTGTTAAATCCTCGCCTGAAAAACGCACAAGAAAGCATCTAATGCACCACACTTCCACGGCAGAAGGAGGCATATATGGTTGAAGGTGTTTCCTTGTCCTGTAAGTGGCAGCCAGATGATGTGAAAAGGCCCCTCTTCCCTGTCTGGCTGGAAGCAACAAGGAGGACTTTGTTTTGTGTTGTACCATACAGCCCCAGACAGTTCGCAGTGCTGTTGTATTGGTTTCTTCAAAAAGCCGGCAGCAAAGGTTACCTGTTAGAGTTCTTTAAAAAAATGCGAATGTCAGTATTGTAATGCCAACTTGCCTGGAGAAACGAGCTGATAACAGGTCGTAATAAGATGATAAAGATGTGGAATTGATTCAAAAGAATGTGAGCCAGTCCTTAAAACGAACAAGTAACAAGTTAGTTACCAATATCAGTAAAATTCTTTAAGGCATTGAAGACTTGGCTTTGGACACTTTTTGCGACAATTTCCTGAATGGATTTGCCTTTAATTTCCTGAACCTCGTTTGGTGAAAGACTCACACTGGCTGCCCACTACAAAGCATCGCCTCTATCACTAAAATGCCACGCATTCTGTAAAAAGAGATATGACAGAAGCACAAAGTAACTCCTTTTAAAGTTATATTGCAAACGGAATATAATTTTTCGAAATGCAGTTTAGTTACTTCTAAAGAGAGGGTTATAAGTAACTACAGGAATGGTTAACATGACACTGAGATGACTACCATTCCTACAATTTTAGCCAGTATTGTATTGTAAATAATCATGCAATTCAGCCTTATTAGGCTGCCATGGGATTTTTAATAAAGCTATCTATCCAGCTACTACAAATATTAGTTTATTTGGACAGTTGTCAAATATGATTGAAAACCATGTGCACAAAAAATCATTGTGTAATTATCAAAAGTGATCAAAGGATTTTGGGTTTTTCAAGCAGTCAATGAAACAAATGAAGTTGATGAAAAGAAATGAATTGACATGAATGGCAGTTAGTGTTTAGAGGATAACGAAAAAAACCACAACCTTATATTGCTTGCTAAGTAATCTGAGAATATCAAAGTAGCAAATTTCTCTAACAGCTGGATTAAAATATTTCCGTATAACAAGCAACCACATAAACAAGCACCTAAAGAAAGAACTAATACATGAATTTTCAAAGATTAATTTAAGATTGATTTATTATGCCTCAGTCTCAGCTTTGAAAAGGAGATCCAGAGGTAAACCTCTGTTAAAGTTCACTTAAAACATAAAACAAGGACGTTAAAATTGTACACTAATAAGCTTAGCAAACATAACAAAAAATAACTGATTGTTCTTACTGTATCAACAATGTGGTCATGGTGAGCAAGACCATACATTGCTGCACCCAGTCCAAAATATTCACTGCCACTTTCATGTTCAGACATGAGTATGGATAATGAATTATAAAAGCAGTTTCCATCCCCACTTGAGTAGAAGGGCTCCAGACCAAGCTCATAAATGGACTGGTCAACATAGCTGGAAAATCTCTAAAAGCAATAGAATATAAAGTTAATAACAACCAATACAATAAAATTTATAAATGAAAATAATGATAATAGTAATTATAATAATGATGATGATAATCAATCCAAGTCAATAACTCTTACTGAACTTTTTACTGCTCAGGAAGTCTGCGCTGATTCTCACTGCTGTTAAACTGATGTGAAGAGATCTTCGGGAGATGTTCCAGACTGTGAGGAGATAAATTTAAGGTCACCTCCCAAGGCAATCTGACCATGCACCCTAAAATGTCCCTTGCAATTTGGGGCTTTATGATTGTATGGATTTCAGTCTAGGAAAGGAAAAAACACCTTGCATTAATAGGTAGATCACAAATTGGTAAACAAAAAAACATTAATATTAATAGTCAAAGGTTGTTAATTAACTCTCATTATTGTTTGCCCTCATGATGGATTCCTCATTAAATGCCCCAACCCTAATCATTAAGTTGAAAATAAAACTTTTTGAACATCACACTAAAGAACTGGAATTGGCCTGGCATTAGTGGACCCTTAAACAAACAATATCCACCTTTTGGAGTTAGTAGGACCAAACTGCTTGGACATAGCCCCCTTAACAAGTTTCTAGCTAAACAACTGGTATTAAAACTTTAGCTGACAGCTGATGAAATGATATAGAGAATGTTCAGGAATGGTAAATTCAAAACAAAATACTTGCATCCTAGACAAGATTAAATTGTGAAATAAATAAATGAAATAGTATGTTTGTTTGCCACACATACATGCACAAAAAAGTAATGAACAAAAAGAAGGAGTTCAATTAATAACAGGAAGCTTACATCTTCATTCAGTTTTCCTAGAATACTTGGCATCTTTGATGTTTGGATCTGATTCAGTTCACTGCAGGTTTGCAGTACAGATTGCCGCGTATAACCACAGTAAACTGATTCACTCCCAAATTTCCTCTCAACAATGTCCTCAAATAGAAGAGAAGGCAGAATGTGACCTTTGGGAGTTGCAAAGGGAGAATCAGAAATGGAAGTGGTGACAGCAGGTGTTGATGAAGGAGCAGGAGGACAAATGGGGCTTGCAACAACTTCAGGGGCAGATGAGGGAGGATCAGAATGATACAGGAATGGGAATCACAGGACTGTGAGCAGAATCATCTAGACTGTGATGTCAACCTCTTGAGGGTGCTGTTGTTGATTCCAATTTCTGTATGAATGCATTATTGAAATTAAATCCTCCAGATGTGGTCGCTTGCTGCTTTTATTTACATCTGTGAGCTCAACTTCTTCAGGCCACCAAACTTGTCTGCATGCTTCTTTCCCCAATCCAGGCTCAGATCTCCTGACATGAAAATACACCATATATATTCTGCAAATTTATGGGAAAATTGACAGTGGGTGCTTAAATTTTTATATTTAACAACTGCATTACTACTCAATTTAGCACTTTAAAGAAACAAAATTGTGTGTTGTATGATTAGAATAGACAAATTGTACAGCCTTTTAAGTACATCACCCCCAAAACTGTTTGCATTTGTGAAAAATGAACTGTTTATCCAGTTTGCTTGCTAAAATTTCTTTACTGTTTTCCTCAGATCTACTACTCTAAATTGCACAGGGTCTTCTGGTGGTATGTCATCATCAGCTGCCATTTCTTGAGCTTAAACTTGTTGCACTATAGGAAATAAAAATTCAAACTGTATTGTACTGTAAATTAAAATCTGGAAGCAGAAAGGTGGGTACTAGACTAACAAAATAAAGTACTTATAACAGATGCAAAGCAAAATGATGCTAAAATGCACTCAGAATTTAATGAATTAAACCAGTTAAAATAAGTATTACTTGCATAGAGAAGTGAATGAGAAATCAGAAAAATGTTCCATATCTTCCAAGACTTAAAATATACTGTGGGCTATAAATAACTTCAATCAGTGCCTTAAACTGTCAAAGCATTAAACCTGTTGCAATCCAGAACTGGCCTTACCAAAATGCAAAGCAAAGTGCTGACAGCTTAGTCCTAGCATACCATTCTTGCATCTAAAAGCAAAAAGAGAGAAATAGAGCAAAAATAGAGGAAGAAAGCCAAGCAGACAGACAGAAAGGAAGGAAGGAAGGAAGGTAGGGCTAGTTTAGAATAAAAAAAATTCCAGAGGTACTGCATTGTTAGGGATGTAGATACAAACAATTTCAACCCCGATATTATGGGCTTAAAAAAACAATTTTTATTTAAAGTCTTGTTAAATTACATTGGGAAATTCAAATAAATAAATAAATATAAAAACAAAAATATAAAATTAAAAAAAGGAAAACTGAAATACTTTTGTTTGCATAGACTTCATGTACTGTCTATCCATCTGGTTGCGCTTGCTTGAGTCTGTCTCAAACGCCTCCTGAAAGAAAATAGAAAATTAAAATCTCATATACAACAGCTTACAAGCTGAACAAAAAAATCATGCTCCCACACGTGAAATATAAAACTTACAAAAAAGGACTCTCTTTTTCTTGCACGACTAGCAGTAGCTGGGGGATCCTCCTCGTGACTTTGGGCTTCCTAAAAAAAATAAGGAATATCGAAAATAGATCGGTGTGAATTAAAAAAATTAAATACAAAAATACCACACGATCACGATTCTCCGGGAAAGTCTGATATGCTCGTTGTAACAAAAGAAAAGAGCTATGGAAGAATCAATGTCAGCGCCGAGAAATATACTTGCTCCTTTTTACAAAATGTGATAAAATTAAAATGCGTTCTTTCCGCCATAATGATGGGCCACTGTAATAGGTGGTGTATGTATCATAAAGTGTACCAGCAGCTGGTGGTTATTTTCGTCTCAAAGCCCCTCACGGTTTCAAAATGGCGAATTATCGTGGGACACTCGTTAAATCATATCTCTTGTGACTCGTCCTGGTTCAGCCCTGACACTGGCCAACGCTCTTCGGAATCATGTTTTTAAGGGTGCCACCTCTGCATGTTGATATTGTTATTGATTTGAACGTGAAAGCTGCCTCATCAAACGTTCTCACAGTTGTACGTTTTACTCCCCTTAACTATACAACAGATGCACGTGAAGTCATAGACTGACTTTTATTTTGTATTAGTTAACTCCAAGGAACAAGCGGAACGAAAACATCGTCATGTTGATGTTTCAGGAAAGGAGAAGGTGGTGACGACGAGGAGCTGCCGGAGGAAGAGTCTGCAGCTTTTAGTGAGTGAAATGTTTTTATCTGGTACAAATTCAACATAGCAACCTTGATTTTTGTATGTATATCCTCAAGAATGATCAAGATTAACTTTATTTTTCGCAGTAGATCAGTATGTTCGTATTGAACGTGATAATTTGTACTCCATTTGAATGATAGTTTTATTTGAATGTGTAGTTGTTGACCCACCCCCTCAGCTTCTGCTGCTCCCAGTTCAGCTTCTCCAGTAGTTAGTAGCTTTATACTTTTCAAAGAGCATTAGACTAATTTTCGAGATGATGAAGCTGTTAACAGGCCTGTAAATTATTCTTTTGATGATTTCCCAATGACATGACAGTTTTTG